TATGCTGGGTATGTTTGAGGTAAGCTAGGCTAAGCTATGACATTTGGTAGCTTAGGTGTATTAAATACATTTTTGACTTAGAATACATTCAGTTTACAGTGGGTTTATTGGGATGTAACCCCATCATATGTCAGGGAAGATCTGCATATAGGAAAATTAAAATTCTACCCCAAATTTCACGTTGAAGACAACTATAATACTCCACAAATACTTTTTTTCTCCAGGCAAAATATTCTCAGGGTTTCAACCTTTCCTTATAATATCATGATTTATAAATCTTTCTTCTATCACATGGGTTGTTTTTTTTTTTTTCCTCACTGACAAAACTGCTTCTCCTAAGGTGGGTCCCAGAACTAGACTGGTGATCCGGAGGCTAAGTATATAGAAGGGAGCTTATCATATTCTGTAACCAGAAACTACAAGAGAGGCAGGAAATAATTTTTTAAATGTCAATAATAAGTTCTTCCTATCAACAATTATTTGAAATATAAATGGACTGAACTCCCCAGTCAAAAGACATATTGGCTGAAGTGATGTTTTTAAAAAAGCAAAAGTATATGCTACCCACAAGAGACTCACTTTAGATTTAAGGACACACATAGGCTGAAAGTAAAAAATGGAAAAAGATATCCCATGCAAATACTAACCAAAAGAAAGAAGGGGTGGTCAGACAAAATGTACTTTAAAAAATGTCACAAGAGACAAATATAAAATTATAAAAGGGTCAAATCACCAGGAAGATGTAATGATTATAAATATATAGCACCCAACATAAGAGCACCTAAATCTATAAAGCTAATATTGACAGAACTGAAAGGAGAAATAGACAGCAACACCATAACAGAAGATTTCAATACCCTACTTTCAATAATGTGCAGAAATCCATACAGAAGGTCAATAAGGAAGCAGAGTACATGAACAACACTATAGACCAAATGGACTTAGCAACAGTACACTTCACTCAAAAGCAGCAAAATACACATTCCAAGCACACACAAAACATATTCCAGGATAGACCACATGTTAGGTCACCAAACAAATCTAAACAAACTTAAAAAGATTGAAATTATGCCAAGAATCTTTTCCAACCACAGTGGAATGAAATGAAATCAATAACAGAAAGAACACTGGTAGTCATAAATATGTGAAAATTAAACAACATATTCTTGAACAATGGGTCAAAGAAGAAATCAAAAAGGAAATTAGAAAATATATTGAGACAAATAAAAAAAAAAACAAAACACAACACACCAAAACTTATGGGGTGCAGCAAAACGAGTCCTAAGAGGAAATTTTATAGTGATACTTACATTAACAAAGATGATTTCAAATAAACAACCTAACTCTACACCTCAAGGTACTAGAAAAAGAAGAACAAAATAAGCCCAAAGTTAGCAGAAGGAATAATCAAGATTAGAACAGAAATAAATGAACAGAAAATAGAAAAGAATAAAACTAAGAGTTGGCTTTTTGAAAAGATCAATAAAATTGACAAACCTTTAGCTAAACTAACTACAGATAAAAGAGAGAAGACAAATCAGACACAAAAGAGGAGACATTAAAACTGATGCCACCAAAATAAAAAAAGATTATGAGACTATTATGAATAATTATATACCAAAGAATTGGATAATTGAGAAAAAATGGATAAATACCTAGATGTATAACCTACCAAGACTGAATCATAAGTAAATAAAATACCTGAACAAATCTACAACTAGTAAAGAGATTGAATCAGTAATCGAAAACCACCCAACAAAGAAAAACCCCAGGACCAGATGGGTTCACTGGTGAATTCTACCAAACATTTGCAGAATTAACATCAGTCTTTCTCAAAGTTTTCCAAAAAATTGAAGAGGGTGGAATGTTTCCAACCTAACTTTATAAGGCCAGCATTACCCTGATATCAAAGCCAGAAGACACTATAAGCTAACTACAGACCAATGTCCCTGATAAATATAGATATAAAATCCTGAACAAAATACTAGCAAATCAAATTCAACAGCACTTAAAAAGAATCATAATATCATGACCAAAGGGGGTTTATCCCTGGGATGCAAATACAGTTCAACATACAAAAACTAATCAATGTAAAACACCACGTTAACAGAACAAAGTTTTAAAAACACAAGGTATCTCAACAGACACAAAAATCATGTGACTAATTCAACACCTTTTCATGAGAAAAACACTAAAAAAACTGCAAATAGCATGAACTTACCTCAACATAAAAGTACCATATATAAACAGCCCATAGCTATCATCATACCCACAAATGAAAAACTGAAAGCTTTTTTCTAAGATCAAGTTCAAGGCAAGGTTGCCTACTTCTGCCATTTTTATTCAACATAGTACTGAAAGATGTGGCCAAAACAATTAGGCTAGAAAAAGAAATGAGACACATTTAAATTGGAAAATAAAGAAGCAAAATTACTTCTGCATATGACATGATCTTATGCGCAGAAAACTGTAAAGATTACACCAAAAACAATCTGTTAGAACTAATAAATTCAGCAAAGTTGCAGGATAAAAAAATTAACATACAAAAATCTGTTGCATTTTTATATACTAATAATGAACAATCAAAAAATGAAATTAAGAAAACAATCCCACTTATAATAGCATCAAAAAATAAATAAAATACTTAGGAACAAATTGAACCAAGGAAATGAAAAACTAATATACTGAAAACTATAAAATACTGCTGAAATAAAATTTAAGAGACACAAATTAATGGCAAAACATCCTGTGTTCATGAGTTGGAAGAGTTATTAAATGGCCATGCTACTCAAAGCAATCTACAGATTGAATGCAATCTCTATTAAAATCCCAGTGGCATTTTTTAGATATAGAAAAAAGACTTCTGAAATTGTTACGGAACCAAAAAGGAACCTAAATAGTCAAAACAATCTTGAAAAGGAACGAAGATGGCATCATGCTTTCTGATTTCAAAGCATATTAAAAAGCTATGGTAATCAAAAGAGTATGGTCCTGGCATAAAGACAGACTTGTAGAACAATTGAACAGAAGACAGAGCCCCAAAATAAACACATGCATATGGTCAACTGATCTTCAACAAGGGTGCCAAGAATACACAATGGAGAATGATAGTCTCCTCAACAAATGGTGTAGAGAAAATTGGACAGTCACATGCAAAAGAATGAAACTGGACCACTATCTTATACCATACACAAAAATAAACTCAAAATGGATTAAAGACTTAAACATTAGACCTGAAACTGTAAAACTCCTAGAAGAAAACATAGGGGGAAAGCTCCATGACATTGGTCCTGGCAATGATTTTTTGGAAATGAGATGAAAAACAACAAAAGCAAAAATAGATGAATGGAATTACATCAAACTAAAAATCTTCTGCACAGCAAAATCAACAATCAATAGAGTGAAAAGGCATCCACAGAATGGGAGAAAATATTTGCCAACCATGTATCTGATAAGGGGTTAATCTCCAATATATTTAAGGAACTCCTATAACTGAATAGCAAAACAAAACAAAACAAAACAAAAAAACCCTAATAACCTGGTAAAAAGGTTATTGGGCAAAAGACTTGAACAGATATTTCTCAAAAACAAAACATATAAATGGCCAACAAGCATATGAAAGATGCTCAACATCACTAATCATCAGGGAGATGCAATCAAAATCACAATGAAATATCACCACAGCTATTAAGATGGCCACTGCTATAAACTAAATGTTTGTGTGCCCCCCCCCCCAATTCATATGTTGAAGCCTAATCTTTGTTGTGATACTATCTGAGGGCAGAGCCTTTGGGAAGTAATTAGGTTTGGATGAGGTCATGGAAGTGGAGCCCCCATGATTGAATTGGTGCCCTTATAAGGGGATGAAGAGCCCAGAGATCTCTCTCTCTCTGCCATGTGGGGACACAGTGACCAGACAACCTTCTGTGAATCAGGAAGGGGGCTCTCACCACAGAACAAATCTGCCAGTTCCTTGATCTTGGTCTTCTAAACCTTCAGAACTGAGAGAAATAAATGTTTATTGTTTAAGCCACGCAGTTCATGGTATTTTTGTTATAGCAGCCTAAAATGACAAAGATAGCCATTATCAAAACAAAATAGAAAATAACAAGTGTTGGTGAGGCTATGGAGAAATTGGAACCCTTGTGCAACTGTTGGTGGGAATGCAAAATGGTGCAGCTGCTATGGAAAACAACATGGAGATTCCTCACAAAATTAAAGATAGAACTACCATATGATCCAGCCCTCCCACTTCTGAGTACATATCCAAAAGAAATGAAATCAGTATCTTGAAGGAATATGTGCTCTCCCATATTTATTGCAACATTATTCACAATAGCCAAGAGGTGGAAACAACCCAATGAACATTTATTTATTCACTGACAGATAAATGGATAAAGAAAATATATATGCATGATGGAATATTAACCATAAAAAAGAAAGAAATCCCGTCATATGCTACTATTTGGATGAATATTGAAGACATTATGCTAAGTGAAATAAGCCAGTCACAGAAGGACAAATATTGCATGATTCTGTTAATATGTTACCTAAAATAGTCAAACTCATTGAAGCAGAAAGTAGAATGGTGGTTGCCAGGGGCTGGGGAGGGGAAACTGGGAGTTGCTACTAAATGGGGATAAAGTTTCAGTCATGCAAAATGAAACAGTTCTAGAGATCTGCTCTTCACCATTCTGTCTAGAGTTAACAATATTATACACTCCACTTAAAAATTTGTTAAAAGGGCAGATGTCGTCCTATGTTTTTACCACAATAACAATAATTTTTAAAAACCTACTTTAATTTCCAGACATATCAATATCCCCAGCAAAAAGAGAACCCTGCATAGGAAAAAAATAGGAAAGCTGTGGATTTCTACCATGGCCGTGGATGCGCCAGACTTTCCAAATAATCTTGCCATCTGGAAGCCCATTCTTGGTCTTTAAAGTATTTAAAGGCTTTGCAAAAGTGCTCATAGGTGAAACAGCAGGAAGCATCTACAACCATCTCAGAGGGAGCCTTCTGCTTCCAGGAATAAAGTCACACATTCACAGGTGCTTCCTGTTTTTTCAAACACCTTGCCCACCTTTTGCACACCAAGCTTGCATTCTGCAAAACGTGAGCCCAACAGGAAGCTGCCTGCAAATTCAGGTAGCTTTTCTGATTCTTAACGAGGTCTTGAATATACTTGCAGAGAAATGTCAGCAAAAACTGTCGTCATTTGGAGAAGAACAAGTCTGGAAGAAAAATACACAGAGGACTAGCACCAAGAGGGTGAGAATATTTTTCTGTGAAAATGCTGTCTGCAAGTTACATATTTAAACAAATATATGTATTTTCTTTATGTTTTGGGTTCCTGTGGGTGGAATTAGGAGAACTCACTGCATGTGGGTGGCGTCTGTCATTTCTCTGTTGTGAGGGAAGGAGTGGAAGAAGGAAGGTGAAGCAGAGAGTAGGAAGGAGAACTGGATGGCTGTAATGCCCCCAACTAAGCTCAGGGGAAGAATTACTGGAAGAATTTTTCTATTTTGGGATGCTCACAAGCTTGTCCTGAGATTTCAGAGCCACCATTTTGAAATGAGCATGAAGAACATTGATTAAATTGTGATAGTGTTCCCAGTAAGCTTTGATTAAACTATTCTGGGTAATGTCTTCTTAACATGGTCAGAGGTGGACTTGGAATAAAAATTGCAGGCTCTGTACTCAGTTTTCAAATGGATTCAGAGAAGTTGTTCAAGGCAATAAATGACAAGTCATGTATTATAGGTAATGAATAATCTTGGGTAATAGATTGATTATTTGTAATTAAAATTCAAAACTGGAGAGATTAGTCATTTCTAGTAACAATATTTGTTTAGCTCCCAATTTATATTTTTATATTTTCTTTTGTTTTTTCCATTTTTGTCCAACCGTGTTATCAAATTAAGTTAAATTGCATAAATGTTTTTGTTTATTAAATTGACTCTTTGATGCTCTTTTTTTTCCACAATGAAATTAAGATCAATAACCACAAAGGTAAGCTGCTTCTGGTTAACCGGCAAAAAGGCTGGATGGGAGAATTTTCCTCTTCTGGGATTCAGACAAGTGTCTGTAACCTACACCGGTGAGAATTGGTCCATATACATCCTAGAAGACCACACTTAGCAGTAAATTAAAGGAACAAAGCTAAGGTTGGTTAATTTCTTTTTGCTTGTAATAACAAAGATGAAAACACATGAACATCTTATATAACAAACCAAAACTTTCAAATACATTTTATTTGGAAAACTTTATACATCTAAGAGTTTGAAAAACAATGATTTTTTTTTTTAACTGCAAAATCTCTCCTACACAAGAATTTATTCCTCTTTCAGCTGTCTCATATAGTTTGGTAAAGCAGCGTGTCACTGTGGGAGAATATCTATTGAGGATCTCAACATGTAAATGCTATCGATTCAAAGAAGTCCTTGTGCTGAGGAACCTGACTTCCTCTCTGGACATACATATAACACGGTGCAAAACAACAAATAACGACAAAGGTAGGCAGGGTTCTAGTCACTTCTATTTGGTTCTATTGCTTACTAAATGTCTCCGGGTTTCTCATCAGCAAAATGAGAAAATTGGATTAGGTATTCTCTGAAACCTTTTCTGGCTTTAAAATGTATTGATTCTTAGGTTTTAAGAAAACCTAGAATAGAAGACAGCACATGCTAAGTGTCAGATGAGTGGCTATATTGGTTCTGAAAAGGAAGACATTAAAAAGGCCTGGAACAACTGGGATGAACTCTGCAGACAGAGATCATGAGCTGCGTCTGGAAAAGGGGCAGGATCTAAAAAGGCAGAGAGGAGAGGCAAGAGTCCCCAGGCTCACTCAGCAGATAAGCGGATGCTCGAATATGGCTAGATTCAGAGGATGTTCAAATATGGCCAGATGCACATCTGAGTACTATAGATAAAATCTTGTTTCTTGCTGCCTTAACATGCAAGGTTAATAAAGGTCCCTTGTAGAAAAGTATCGCAGAAAAGAAAGAAAACCTTGTAGAAAAAGTTTAGTAAGTTGAGACAGATGTTCTAATAGGCACAGTATCCTCAGAGGAGAGCCACCAAGATTGGCTGGATTTTCTTAAATTTTAATTTTAATTCTAATATAGTTAATATACAGTGTTATATTAGTTTCAGGTGGACAACACAGTGATTCAACAGTTCTATACATCTCCCAGTGTTCATCACAACATTGTGCTCCATAATTCCCATCACCCAGTTCACCCCCTTCCCTCTGGCCACCATTAGTTTGTTCTCTGTAGTTCAGAGTCTCTTTCTTGGTTTCTCTCCTTTTTCCTTTGCTTATTTGTTTTGTTTCTTAAATTCCACATGTGAGTGAAATCATATGATATTTGTCTTTTTTTAGACTGACTTATTTCGCTTAACATTATACTCTCTAGCTCCAACCAAAACAGGTCAGCTACATGCAAAAGAATGAAACTGGACCACTTCCTTACAACATACACAAACATAAACTCAAAATGGGTTAAAGACCTAAATGTGAGACCTGAAACCATAAAAATCCTAGAAGAGAGCTCAGGCAGTAAAGACTCTGACATCAGCCCTAGCAACATTCTTCAAGATTGGCTGGATTTTAAAACCAGAGCTCTCTTTTAAATAGTTTAGTGTTCCTTAAAAAAGTGCAGAAAATATGTCTTCTGGAACAAAAACTATGCAAAATCATAGGCTAACGGGACCACTGGCTCTAAGCAAGGGAACAAGTCACCAAGGGTAAAAATGATACTACCCAACAACTAAGAAAGCGGCAGCTTCCTACTTTCAAGTAGGTCTACGTGACTCCTGCTCTTTGCTCTCTGACCCCATTCTGTTCTCGCAATCAGTTCCTTTATGATCTCTCTTGCTTCCAGGCCAACTCAGGCTGTATGGTCAACTAGAATTAGCTCCCACGACCCCATTTCTTTGTCCATCTGCTATTCAACGATCCCATTCCTTGCTCTCCCTAATTCTACTCCTAAGCGACTGAGCCCTGTTGTAGAAAAGTGGAACTGTGCTGAGTGTGCCTTCCATATAGAGTTCTTTTTAACTCTAATTAGACTATCATTGTTATTCAACCATTTTTAAAAATTCCTCCATAATCACCTTCTTAATCCTCAGATTCTTACTGTTCTACCTTCTACTTCCTAAAGGTATCTTTTACTATCTTTTTCTTTTACTTTCTAAAGGTATCTTACCATCCTGTATCCTTGAGAATTTTGATGTTCCGTGATACTTTCTCAACTCTCCCTATCATTTCATCTCCAGTTTATGCCGTATCTTCACCCAGGTACTTACTTAGCTAACATTTAAAACATTTATGACCTCACTGATATGAGGAATTCTTAATCTCAGGAAACAAACTGAGGGGTGCTGGAGTGGTGGGGGGTGGGAGGGATCGGGTGGCTGGGTGATAGACACTGGGGAGGGTATGTGCTATGGTGAGCGCTGTGAATTGTGTAAGACTGTTGAATCACAGACCTGTACCCCTGAAACAAATAATACATTATATGTTAAAAAAAAAAAAAAGAAGATAGCAGGAGGGGAAGAATGAAGGGGGTGGAAATCAGAGGGGGAGACAAACCATGGGAAACTATGGACTCTGAAAAACAAACTGAGGGTTCTAGAGGGGAGGGGGTTGGGGGATGGGTTAGCCTGGTGATGGGTATTAAAGAGGGCACGTTCTGCATGGAGCACTGGGTGTTATATGCAAACAATGAATCATGGAACACTACGTCAAAAACTAATGATGTATGGTGATTAACATAATTAAAAAAAAACATTTATTATGATCCAGGCCCTTATCTACATAATATCACTTAATCTTTTCAACAATGTTGTGAGGTAAATACTATCATCTCAGTTTTACAGATGAGTAAGATGTGTGCCCAAGATCATTCAGCCAGTAAAGAACAAAGCCAGGATTTAAATTTAGGCAGTTTCAGCTCAGAGGCTGCCTGCATTCTATTCCCTCACCCTGACAGGAAGTGGGGGAAGGGTATGTGTGTTTGGATGGGGGACAGGATTTGAACATCCATATATATATATGATGTCATATCCAAGACTAATCTGTCTCTTCTGCCTCTGCCTTCTATCCCATCCTTACTCACCTACTCAAGGACTTTGTATTTGCTGTGTAACAAATCACCTCAAAACCTGGTGGCTTAAAACAACAATCGTAGAGCATTGCTCACAAGTCTAAAGGTAGGCTGGATATTTCTGCTCGTGTGGGCCAGTTTGGCTAATTGTATCTGTACTCACTCACATGACCAGCTGGAGACCTATCTGGGACTGGATGGTCTAGAATAGCCCTACTCACATGTCTGGAAATTGGCCTGATGTCAACTGGGGTGACAAAAGTGGCTAGGCCACGTGTCATCATCAGAAACATCCAGGGCCTGTTCACATATTAGTGATTGCAGAATCCCCCCCCACCCCGCCCCCGCCTCCAAAGGGCCAAAAGGGAGCAAGCCTCTGTGTGCAATCACTTTACAAGTCTCTGTCTGCATCACGTGTGTTATTGTCTCATTAGTCAAGCAAAGTCAGGGTCAGGCCCAGAGTCACCAAAGGGAGCCACAACTACAAAAGCCTATAGATTTTGATGCATTAATTATATACTACCCCTTCTCTTTAATCCATCCCTTTCCACTGACTCCTTCCCTTTATCTGCCAATTTGGTGGACTATACTCTGTTCTAGAAAACCTCCCTTCAATCCCATTATCCCCTGAGGTATTATGTAGCTGAGTATTAGGGATTGACTACATCACTGAAAGTTCTCTGAATTAACTTCCATGTAGAAAACAATGATACTGAAAGGATGAGGTAGTTTAAAAATATACAATAACCACAATAATTGTAAAGAACTTAGACTTTTATTCAGGGAGGAATACTATTTAGAAATGTTGACACAGGGTGATAATAAGAAAGCAGACTTTTAGTTGGTTATATTTGTTTTTAAGTTCTCAATAGACAATGCACCCCTCACTACCTGTGCCCGAGAAAGATGTTCCCACTGCTCTGTCCTTGTATGCCAGTGCTCCAGAATCTTTCTCCTGAGTCTTAGCAAGGATGCAAGACATCTCACCTTGAAGTTTCATCTTCATTTATACCTCATTATGTTAAAAGACAAGACTAAAAAAGACCCTACTTTTTCTCTGGCTTTCCCTAAGCTCTACTGAAGGGCATATATACTTTTAGCTTACAAGATAGTACATAACTGCTCTGTGATTTTCCAGCACTGTGTGAGAGTTTCCATTGCTCCACATCTTTGCCCATACTCATTATTTTAATCTTTTTCAGTTTAACAGGTATAAAATAGCATATATTTTAATTTGCTCTTCCATGCTATAAAAGCCTTGTATGCTTCATTGTAGAGAATACTCAAGTGAAGTTTTTCTTTTATTTTTCTTGCTCCATCCCCCAATCTAATTTCTTTTAGGACTAATCTAATTCCTTTTAGTTTGTGATCTTTTAGCCGACAAATTAGTCACCAGTTTTTTCTGGGTAAATATATCTCAAAACAGGTGTTTGCTTCACACAGTAATAGAAAAGGGAAATTATTTGCCTAAGTAGAGGTGATAAGGCTGTGCCAGGTCTAAGGTTGTGAAAATGTCTCTTGATTCTGTCTCCAATTTTCATTCTCTTAAGTCCTTCCACCAGTTGGTAACCACTGGGAGCAGCCAAACAAAGCACTGCGTGTAAGGTTGTATTTGTGATATTCGCAGCTTGGCTTAAGAAAATGAAGTTGCTGTAAGTCTGATAAAGATGTACTCCTGTCACTTTCCTACTCTTGCACAGTGGTGAGGGATTTCAGACATGAACGGAGCTCCACTGGACTTGAATTATTTTGAAAAAAACCTCAGATAAGCACCTGAGTTCTGGGGCCTTTTACAAAAAAAAGAACTTTATATTTTAATTCCAGGATTTTATTGAGAAGATGAAGGTTGTTGCTTCCTTCCTTTAGAAAATCTCCCTCTGTATTTATGCAGCTCATGATTGACTTTCCGCTCTTATTCAGAGAGCATACAAGCTGGTGTTCAACTCAGTGAAAGCATCAAAATATCCAGCAATGTCAGATCATTAAATAGAACATTATACAGTTATCGACAGACATTATAAAACCTTTTTAAAAAAGTCATTGAAGAATCTTAAGTGATCTAAAAAATGTCCATAATATAAAGTTGAGTTATTGGCAATATATATATGTAATATGTGTAAAATATATGTATACACACACACACACACACACACACACATATATATACACATACCAAAATATTAACAGTGGGTATCTTTGAGTGAAGAGATTATGAATTAGTAAACACTTAAAAATGGATTTCTGATTTGCAATAGTTCTACCAAAAACATGTATTGTTTTTATAATCCAAAATGATTAGAATAAGAAGTTATTAATAAAAAAGATAATGTGGCAAAAGTTCTGGGAAGACTTAATCTTATACTGTAGAAGCTTTGAGGCAGTGATATATACACTTATTT